CATCTTACGGGTTACATTTATAATTTTTTAGCTACCCCTCCCCAAAAATGGGTAGTTTAACTCAAATAACAACACTCAATGATGTAAAGGAATATTTTGTCTTCAAGTATATTTTTGTATAGTGAATAGTTGATTTAATTCCATCCCCGTCGGCCCAGTCGGAGTGTAAGTAAGTGTCAATGAACTCTCACCGGCCCTGTGATTACGTGCCCCCAATATTTGGCATATTTACTCACATAATGTCAATATACATTATTGGGATAGTGTTGTTTCAAGCCCTAAAACTGCATTGGGCGCCTTGAAATTTGAAGAACTTTGTATTGTGCAACAACAATTATTCTGCTCTTACGTTCGCAAGTCACGCCATCGGAGGACAACTTGGTATCAGCCGGGCAGCTGGCCACACAGCGAATACTTCCACCCTTGCTGACAGAGAAGTGCCTACACATGCGGCATTCTGTGTCCAGCTTCGATCCAGGGGAGCTTGGAATACATCCTGCATGGAGAGATTAAAAGGTTCATTTAACTGCTGAATACTTGTCGATGAAATTGTATCAAGATCTATGAACCGCTTGTTTCGTTTTGTTAAACGCTGAGCTGACTAAAGCAATGAAACAGACAATAGCCTGGTGTCCAGTCTATCGAGGTGGGGACGGCTCTCCTCGAGCTCCGGTGGGAGTGTTACGCCTTAGGCGATTTGCTAAATATAGAGTTCTGTACACCAGGAGTTGATTACTTGACGATGTATATATGTAACGTTATCTGTATACCATCCTTTTACTGTGACCTGTACTTAACCCAGTGGGTATGTGTGTACAATAAAGCTCTTCATTCATTCATTAAGGTAGGGGTAATTGAACTTCCTTCGTGCAAACCCAACCGGGGAGCCTAGCGGGGTCGGGCGGCGAAGAGTTCCTGCAGGCCCGTAGAGAGCCCGCCGGACTATCCACAATAGCTGCTAGTTTGAACTCACGCCGTGCAAAACCTACCGGGGAGCCTATAGCTAAGTCGGGCAGGAAATTGAAAGAGCTCCTGCAGCCCCATAGAGGGCCCGCCCCAATCACGATAGGGCTAATTGCACTCCCGTCGTGCAAAACCTAACTGGTAGCCTAACTAAGTCAGGTGGGAAAGAGCTCCTGCAGCCCCGTAGGAATCCCGCCCTAACCACTGAACACCAGACTAGACTGACGATGAGTGATGATACATAGTCACATACCATCACCGGGAATATGTTCAACTCACCGTTACACTCTGGATGACAGTCCTCCACACACATGCCATCCTTCAAGACAGTTCCCCCGGTACATTCCATCTGTCCTGTTGCTCCTCCCTCGATGACTCGGGCGTCCATAATCTCTACGTCTGCTTCCCCGCTGCCAAAGGAGTAGAAGCGAATTCCTAGTGGCGTACTCTCATCCAGGTAGACCATGTACACCAGGCCTTTTTCCTGTCGGCAAAAATGTTAGACATGTATGCTTCTCCGTCCAGTTAATGTCATGATGACTGTACCTTCACAAGCAGTCGATATGCATAAGACTTGACATAAATCAATGTATAATAATACTTTCTGATGTCATGACTCCAATATATGAAGAAAACGTTAATGTGTTCCATCGCTTCCAAACCTAATGTTATATTGCCCCATGGCAATAAGTTGATTATGTTAGAATTGTATTTGTAGTATTATGATAGTTTGTGTATGCTCCCCTTGCTGCTTATTTTCTGCCATCTGCCATACATTGTACCCGTTACATTTGTTGAAGAATAAAGTTGATTGGAATGGATATAAGCACAATACTTACGGAAGTATCTGAGCCGATGCCATATTTGATATAGGTTTGCTGTTTGTCCATATCCTCATCCAAACAAATAAAGTATGGCTGAAACAGTTTGGAATCACCGAGACTTCTAGCGTTTTTCGCTCCCTCGTACTTAACCAGTCTCATACCCTGTAAAACATTGTTGTACAGAACAATATTAATAACAAACGCATTTACCTCTTTTTAATGCAACATTTCTTAATCTTAGTAATGTTTCAGCACAGGGATTTTATTGAATTCTGGTCCAACTCACAGAAATAAAGATCAGAAATGTTGTATTTATTTCAAGGTTTAGTACGTTACCTTGTAGAGCGCGACGCCTTGAAAACTGATCTGAAGATGGTACCAAGTGGTCTTATCCTTCGGGATGGAGGAAAAGACCACAAAAATGTCTCCCTTTGATGCCCCGATGAAGTACAGGCACTTTCCTCCCTCATCAGCGGGTTTGATCTGGTAGGAGTTGGACCACTTCACAGTGCAGGGGGCTTCCACGATACTCGACAATGCACCACTAGTTACAACAACAGAACAACGTTATTACCTTCATGAAAAATGGAGTTATTGTTTTAAGGATGTTTGTGTGTGTGTCCGTGTGTGTGTATTTCCGCATTACTCTTAGGTCAGGCCAGGGTACTGTTGGTTTCAATCTGTGTCTGATGGAGAAATGTCAGAATGTCATTATTACCTTCACCAAGAAGGTTATGTTTTCAGTATCGTTTGTCTGTCCGTCTGTCTGTGAACAGCATAACTCAGGAAGCTTAATATGCATTGTCATGAAACTTGGTAGATGGGTCTTGATGAGACCTAGAAAAAATTGTATAATTCGTCAACCGGAAGGGCTAACATCATTTGGCCAAGGTATGAGGTCGTGGAACTCTTGTATTACGTCTGCATCTGGTAGCTCGCTGTTTTGACAGGAGTTTTTCGTTTCGTTTCTTCTCTTTTTTTTTTGTTTACAATACCTACGGTATTTCTGATGCGTACTTTCAGCTGGTAGACATCGATTTGCAATAAAGCTATAATGATATACAACATACATTGTATTCTATAAAATATACACAAAATATACACGTCAAATCACAAGTAGGGAGAAAAATGCTGTTATTTTTCATTTTGACCTGGCAAGATATCGCGTCCTATCATGTCTCCGTAGTGAATGAATGAATGAAGGAAGGAAGGAAGGAAGGAATGGGTGTAAAAAGGTGTCGACTCTCACCTATTTTTCTGTGAGTGCTCTAGAGGACTGATGTACTCAGCTCTGCCGACGATCCCGTCCGCGTAGTTGCGGGGTAAATCCCCAAGAGCCTGAAAAGAGATATTCAAGCATTAAGTATGGAATGGTACCTTGCTGATTGCATTTCTTTAAGAAATCATGGACAGAAGTTCAAGGGGCAGGTTATGTATGTCTTGAAATGTACTGTATTTCTGTCCCTTATATTCACGTTTGTATTGACTTTTATATTGTATATCGATCAGTATGAAATATAATATATATATATATATATATATATATATATAGAGAGAGAGAGAGAGAGAGGAGGAGGGAGGGAGAGAAGAAGAAGAGAGACACAGAATATACATTATGGCATGAATCAAAATGTTAATGTATATTGTTGATTATACGTTTTAAAGCGACACTACGTCACTTGGTGGCATGTCAGGACTCGAATTCGGGACCGCTTGTTTCCGAGCCGAGCACTCGGCCGTTGCGCCACACAACCTCATCCCATGAAATAAACAAGAAAAGTCTAATAAAGCCAATAATGTGGACAACACGCACCTGAGTGGAAGCAGTCTGATCTTCACTTGTTACAGCAAACTTGCCAGTCTCTTCTTTATACGTCATCACGAAGCCAAAGCAGGAGACCTGTGTAGACAAGTAGATTTGACTTGACAGTTGAAACTTTATACTACTGGATAGATTCTGCGTGGTTTACCTTTGCTTTACTACAAAGGGTGTGCANCGCCCGACGGCGAAGGCCGGAGGGAGATCCGATCCGGCGGGAGGGCTGGGACCGAGGGTGATGCGGAATACACCGTGTTGTATTTTATTTATGTCATACCCACCCAAGAAAACACGCCTTTCAATGCAAAATGAGCAGAAAGTTGGTGTCCCTAAACCCAAAAAGTGCAACAACATCAATTCCAACGTCCGAATTTTGCATTCGAATATTCGAAAGCGTTGCACGCGGTTAGGACGAAACGCGTTCGAATCGTTTTGTGGAACATTTGGAAGGGCCGGGCCGTACGCGATAAGAACCCCCGGGCCGTACCGCTAGTTATCACACGGGCCGGAACACCCGTATCGAACGTAATCGCGGCCCAGGTAGGACATAATTAAGGGTTAATGCCCCGCCCCGAGGTGAATATGGTGTGATAAAGCCTTATCAGTTGCTATAACCACCGAATAAAGCCACCAAGTGAGCGCAGCGAACGAGGTGGCTTTATGAGGTGGTTATAGCAACTGACAAGGCTTTATCACACCATATTCGCCGAGAAAGGGCGGGCCATTAACGCTATTATCATATAGCTTACACGATAGCCTATCCAAACTGATGCAAGCTAGTGAAGAATGACACAATGTACTTGCACATGCTGAATAGAACATAGAATATTTGTTCCATCTGGAGTCACCTGAGGTCACTGGGAGGTTCATGTTCTATGGCCTTCTATCTGGGTCACAGGCAGGGAACAGGTGTTCTTATGGGAGTCATTGGAACACAACTCAAGTTATTTTTGGATTTTTTAGAAGTAGAGCCGTGTTCTATTGGGTCACCTGAGGTCATATGCGGGTGATTATTCATTTTGTTTAATGTATGGATTTGGATGAATAAATACCCGATTTTGACTCTATTTGTGACATTACGGCGACATAAAGAATGTGGAATGGAGCCTTCTGATTGGTCAACGTCACCCGGCTATATGATAATATACATTATGGCATGAATCAAAATGTTAATGTATATTGTTGATTATATGTTTTAAAACGACACTACGTCACTTGGTGGCATGTCAGGGCTCGAATTCGGGACCGCTTGGTTCCGAGCCGAGCACTCGGCCGTTGCGCCACACAACCTCATCCCATGAAATAAACAAGAAAAGTCTAATAAAGTCAATAATGTGGACAACACGCACCTGAGTGGAAGCAGTCTGATCTTCACTTGTTACAGCAAACTTGCCAGTCTCTTCTTTATACGTCATCACGAAGCCAAAGCAGGAGACCTGTGTAGACAAGTAGATTTGACTTGACAGTTGAAACTTTATACTACTGGATAGATTCTGCGTGGTTTACCTTTGCTTTACTACAAAGGGTGTGCATGTCAAAGTTGCAAAACAACAATAAAACACACCATAGAGCTATAGAATATAAATCGCAAAAAATTGAGAGGAAATGCATACTAGTACTAAATGTACATGTATACCTAGTGATTTGGGCCTGTTTTGGACCAGTTTTTGCAAATGGATTTTAAAGATTAGTGCCTGTTATTAGGTTTGGACGTCACCGCGACATTTATAAACCAGAACAGGTACTGTGATGATATGGTTGTGCATAGTCACGTTGATATTAAACTGTTGACGCAATAACACTACCAGGGTTATAGATAAATGAGACTTTTATGTGACGGAGCCATTTCAAGAACTGTGAAATGACTTCACATAAAGACATTTGAAAGTGATAATTTGGCAGAACAGACACCCTGGACGCTAAAATGTGCAAGCAATGACGGCCAAACACCAGCCGAACAGGTCGACCGGTGTTCGGGAGCACTCTGACTAGATTTTGTATCTATATTTGGTATATGAATAACTCAAAATGAATTTGAATTCAAGTGGAGTCAGATTTGATTCCTGAACACTGCTGGCTTACTTCAAATTCGTAAATGTGTGACAGGGGCTAGGATGTCCTTTTGTCTGCACTCTGATCCCTTTTCTGTCGATCAAAAACCGTTCCGCTCCAGTTTTCAGATAATTGCGCATGTTTGGATTGTACACATAATTTCACCTACTCTACTGATTTGACGATAACGACTTGATTTTTTTTCTTTACTCACATAATTTTTCCATCAAACCTACACATAAATGTCATATTTTGTATACTAAGTATAAAGTAAAAAGAGTCTTACCTTCTTTTTAGTAGTGTCACCACTCCCTCCGTTTGCACGGCTGTTGTAGACATGAAGAGAAGTGCCGGGCACATGGCAGTTCCACCTGTTGTGAAACATGGCAATTGTTAGACAGAAGAATATACATGAAAATATGTGTTGTTATTTACTATCCATATGCGCAGCACGTTTATTTCTTTGTTTTTGCCTTTATTTACACTCAAAATCGCTCCAATCGGCCACCAGGGACACTTTTCACAGAGGTCAAGTTGGGAGGAGTATCCTTTTTTTTTAAAGACAATAAGTGTTCTGTCCAAATATAGAAATCAAAATGATATGATACACTGTTCGTAGTTGCATGTTTTAACCTTTTGTATTGGAACAAAAGTTAACAAACTAAACCAGGTAACATTTGCAAAGCAAATATATGATGTTCACCTTCACATTGGTGTAGCCTAACGAACTATCGCTCTGTTTATCCTTACTCAAAGAAATCCATATCATTTATATAATATGACACAAATCAAACTCTGTCCTTGAACTTGCGACATAATGTAACCCATGCGACAGTTACTATGTTACAGTTGCCATAGTTACTATGGTGACAGCTGTCTGCTACAGGTCATTGGCCTTGTTTGTTCAGAACGTAAGAAAAAGAAAAGTTTTTCCTTATAGGAAGGTAAACATGATAAATAATAGAAACACGTTGGGTTAAACGATATTTTAAAACATTTTCAATGCATTACCTGTTTTCTGCATAAACCACATAAGCCTCTGTGCTTCTCTTAATGTTATAGTTAATGTCCTCAGGAAGATCGAAGATTATCTGTAATTCAGACGGAGGCGGGACACTGTTATGCCCAACACGATGGCAAACACTTCACCAACACCTGCCTAAACGACAATATCAAATATCCACTGATCCGGAACCAACACCATCATAAACAAGACTTCATCAACACCTGCCTATTAAAGTAACGACAATACTAAATATCCACTGGCCGATCACCATATGCATCAGAAACAAGACTTTATCAACACCTGCCTAACGACAATACTAAATATCCACTTGACCATCACCATAAGAAACAAGACATTTTTCAATACCTGCCTAACGACAATACTAAATATCCACTGGCCCATCACCATATGCATCAGAAACAAGACTTTATCAACACCTGCCTAACGACAATACTAAATATCCACTTGACCATCACCATCAGAAACAAGACATTTTTCAATACCTGCCTAACGACAATAC